GGGGGGGGGGGGGGGGGGGTTTGCATTTGTAGGAGCTGGGAAGTTTTGCAGCCAGCTGGGAGGTTTGCAGTGGGCTGGGAGCTTGGTGTGGGGGGGTTGGGTTGCAGTTGGCTAGGAGCAAGGGGTTTGCAGCCTCCCCACTCTGGGCTGGAGTGCCAGGCTGGCTGCACATGGAACCCAAGCAGTGCTATTGGCCCAACCGGGCTTGGCTTCTCCATATGAGGCTTCCCTTAAGGACCAATAGCTGATTCACAGTCCATGTACAGCCAGTGAGGCGGCCACTCCACGTCTTCCCCCAACACCTCCCCACTCCCTCAGCCCCCCATGAGAGTGTGTCCAGCACCCACACATGCATACGCACCCATATATGTTCAGAGGGGTATGTATACTCATGTATATATGCACAGGTGCATATATACACAGATGCACACACGAAAGAGGGGCACCAGGAGAGCTGGGGAGAGTGTAGTGGGGAGTGAGTGTCCTTTAATTTTAATCACAGATATTGGGGTTTTTATCAGAGAATTTGCAATTTTTTATCAGAGAATTTTTTATTTTTTATCAGAGAAAACTAGGATTCCTGGTCATAAATGTAGAATTATGACTTTATTACTCTCTTCCATTCATGCTAGGAGGAGACATTCTGTTAAAAAATGTTACCATGACATTAGGAAAGAGAACGTAGGATATTATGGGCCAAATACATTTCTTCTAAGTGAAATCTCTTCTTCCAATTTTAAAAGCAGTGCAAAAAGCCTAGTTTAAGATGTGACATTTCTGAAATACTACTTTACATGCATAATGCACTTACTGACAGGTATAGAATTAACTGAATTTCTTCAAATGTATGGTGGCATTTTCATCATTTCTGTGATTTGTCTCGAGATAAGTTACTGAAGAGGCATTTGATGTATGTATGAACTATGACAAGGCATCTAACTGAATTGAGCGTTTGTAAATAAATATCACTAAGTCTTACAAAGGTGTGGCTGAATATATATTCTAAATCACATACTGGTTAGGAACCACATTCCTTTTTTGAAAGGTATTAGTGTGGGGGGGAGGTGAAAAAACAGGACTTGCAAAAACCTATTCTTTTCTAGTTTCCAGCAACCCAGGGAGAGCTTGGATTCCACTGCACTCCCACTGTCTCTTGCTCTGTGTCCTGCTTTAGGTCTCCAGAGTTGCTAGGATTAATGTCAGAAATTAGCCATCTCTCCTTCAGACTCCAGTTCTCCTGACAGGTTAGGCTTGAATTCAGCATAATATCTGCTTCTCCCTGGGTTCAGGTTCTTCGGGTCTCCTGCCTGCTTTTCACCCTTTTATTTATGGAGAGTGGAGTTTCTGCCACAGAGCAAAGTTTCATGATTAACAGACACAAATATGGAACTTTCCAAATGGACATAGTCGTTTCTTGGTAAGCTAGCAGTCCTACTTATCTTCACCAGTACAACTTGACCTAATTTTTACCTGTTCGTGGTTAATAGCTAAGATTTCTGGGGAGAATATTAAATATTCAGCTGTTTTGTTTTTTTTCAAATACAGAGGGACTGCTGTGCATTCTTTAGTGTAAGCACTGGATAGATACTGCCTCCTTTTAGCTCCTTTACATCTTTTCTTAGCAGGGTGGCCAGAAACTGTTGGTTTTACCTTTCACTTTAATACTGGTTTGCACTGAATTGAAATATGGTTACAGATTACAATGGTGTTTTGTCCCGAGAACTTTCCATACTATTCTTTAACATAGCTTATAAGACTTCATGATAAAATAGGCTAACAAAAGAAATGCGGATTAGGGTAGCATGAAACCATATAAATGACACATTACCTTTTATTTTCCTTTTCCAGACTAGTAGCAGAATGGAGACTTTCCCGAGGTGTTGAAGAACAGACGCAAGCTTTCTTTGAAGGCTTCAATGAAATTCTTCCACAACAGTACTTGCAGTACTTTGATGCTAAGGAGCTAGAGGTGAGGGATTTTGGGAGGTATTCGTGGGCACAGTTGATATCAAGTTTAACAAAATGCATATGTCTAGTTATCATTTTATAGAATAACGCTCAGTGATGGTTGAAGTAACTGATGGTGGGAAAATGTTTTGTTAAACATTTTGGCCTCATACAGACATTCGACTTCTCCTGGGAGAGTTGCTGCTCTCTCGCAAGAGAATCCATGAGTGTACAGATGTTCAGGATTTTTCTCCTAGAATAAAAATGGCCACTCCAAAAGAAAAATAACCTGGGAACAGCCAAAGTTAAATCATCTGAGAAGAGTTTCTCCTAGGAGAGTAAATGTCTGTACATGCCTGGCTTCTCTCAAAAGAGAACATGGTCCTCTAACATCCCTCACCCCAGGGAGATCTGTGTTGCTCGCAGGACTTTGCTGCGGCTGGCAGGACCAGAATACACCCCCTTCATAACTCTGACATGCTACAGAGAAACACAGGCTGATCATGGGCAGTCTGGGGTAGCCAATCAGGGCCACCCTTTGCACTACTGCTATCTGCAAGGGATCCTGCAGAGCATGCAAAGATGTGTGCATAGGGCCTTCCTCTGCTTGCAGTGTCATCACTGCAAACTATTCACTCTTCGGGGCCTCAGGATTTGAATGTCTGTACATTCTGTAGGGTTGTTTTTTTTCTACTAGGAGAACAAACGTGGGTGAGTTATCCAAGATTATTCGAATGTGTGTACACAGCCTTTATTTAACATATTCCCCATATGTACATTCTCAAAGGCCCTCTCTAGGTTCTTATTGTATAGATAAGTTATTTAAAAAAAAACAAACAAACCCTAGCAGCTCAGGTTAATTTCATATAAGGAATGGGTAGCCTGACAATGTCAATAGTGAAACAAATATATAAAATGGTTTAGCTAGCACACAAAAAATCAAGTGTAGATGAAGTTAGTATCTAACACAGCTGACTTAAACTGAGAATTGGTGATATCTAAAGAATCTTCTATTTCCTTTATTTATAAAGAAAAATAAAATGGTATGTACATAGGAGACAGCATGGTTTACCACAGGGCACTTATATTACATATTTCTTTGTAGCTGCGTTTTAGACTTGAGGTTCACATAAAAAGTGAACATATAGTTATATTTGGTATTTCCAAGTTCAGCACAGTTGGTATCCTTTGCTATCGCATGTGAAAACCATAGAAATAAACTAATACCTTATGCATTTATGTTTATTCCCCCCATAAAAAGGTGCTTTTATGTGGAATGCAAGAGATTGACTTGAATGACTGGCAAAGACATACCATCTACCGGCATTACACCAGGACAAGCAGGCAGATTGTGTGGTTTTGGCAGGTTTGTATTTGAATTCTGCTTTACTTTATAATGTAAAACATAGCTTCATGAGCAGAAATCAAAATTGCAAAATACCTGTTACCACTGTATTTCTACTGCACTTTACTGCGCAATTTGAATATGGGTTAAGGCAAAGAAGTTCTTTTAGTGTGGAGGTGTCTCAGTCCGTGGAGCCCTGCCATCCAGCCCCATCACTACTCCTGGGTCTGATCTGACCCACACAGGACACAGCATGTAGCTGTGGCATGGGACCAGTCTGTGGACTGGATCTGGCCCATGGGCTCCTCTCCACCCTCCCCCAGCATACCTGATCCAGCAGCCACTCAAACTGGTCTGGCACCCGCAACATGAATGGACCCTGGGGCAGCTGGAATGGGTGCCATACGTGGCAAAGTCTGGCCAGAGTGGCAGCTGCACTGCATGTAGTGGCCACCCCAGTCAGACTGTGCTGCACGTGGAGCCTGCTCTAGGACACACAGTGCAAGCAACGTCCTTTCCATGTGGTCTGGGACCAACACAGCACACAATGTATGCAGTGCAGGTCCCAGATTGGTTGAAGCAGGCACCACTTGCTGCACAGTCATAGGGTAGCTGGGTTGAGCACCAGATGCTGCACATTCTGGGTAGCCATTGCACACAGCTGCTGCTCTGGTTGGACTACACTGCATGTGGTACCTGTTCTAGCCACTCCAGGATCAGCACCACAGGCACCAGGCTGGCTAGAGTGGCTGCCAGATCAGGTATTGACATGTACCCAGAGAATGTCACAGGAAAAATGCCTAACCACCTCTCATTTCAGTTAACAGGATATGTGCAATCTTTGCCACAGAGATCCATCATAGATGTTACCCTGAGCATAAGCTACCATTTTGATCAATTATTTTATTCATCCAGAGGTTGTAAAAAGTAATCACCACACCAGCTGAAACCAATGCAAACACAAGGAGTAGGCTTGGACAACAACCCAAAACCTCCTCTCCCTGTAAAGTTTATTAGAACTGATCCAAGCTGTCTTTGTTATTGTATGCCACAATCCCATGACACCCAGGAAATTTAAAAGCCTTCCACTAAGCTCACAGCCAAAAAGCTGACGTAAATATTCGTCTTGTAAAGACTGCACAATTCTACCAGAGTCCAGTAGCACTTGCTAGGTGGCATCCAGCCAAACAAATCATTCAGTGCCAACCCTTCAAACCAAAGTTAATGTCCATGTTAAAAACTATAAAGAATTTTTATTTGCCCCAATATACTACCCCCATTATTGATGGCTTGCTTTTTAATTTGGCAGTTCACATTTTTGGAGCCATCTGTCTTAATGCTTAAGGACTCTCACCTGTCTGCCTTTAGTATCACCATGTGGCTAGTATTCAGTATCAATAGCTGTTTGACTGTTCTGGCCTTCGAAGAATAATGTTTTAAACTAGTCCAGTTGCTTGTTTTTATCCATCATAGCCACTCCTTGCCAAGCTGACAATGCTATGACTTCCAGTGTTTGAAACAAGTTATAAATGTTAAGACTGAATATTCAGCTCATCAGAAAATCATTTTCAACCTTAAGTGTCTCCAAGAGAAATGGAAAACAATGCTTTAAGGAATAATATTTGTATAGCAACTGAAGAAGCAGCACTCAATAGCCATCATGTTTCTTAAAACCCTGCATGTTAAAACAGTTGTCCCAGTTTTTTCTAGAGGTTTGCAGCCATTCCTGCCCTTCCATTATACAGTCTAAGCCACATATAGAGGGCTTATTTGGCAGCCAGTAAATTGCCCAGTTGCAAAGAGGTAAACTCATACTGCAAGCCCTGAGGTAGACAAGTCCTAGCCCAAGCCTTGCAAAATGTTGGATCCATCTCAGTAAGTAACACAGCAATAAGCCTTAATGAGGTATGAACAGCTGACCCATCATCTTCTAGCAGAAACTAGCTGTTAGACTTAAATAAGATTAAGTGCTGCCTTTAAGCTAGAAATCAGCAGGATTTATTGAATGGCTTCTCATTTGCACAATTCATATAGCTGTCCATATTTACCCACAGGCATCCAAGTGGCTTATGCTGTACATCTCTGAAATAAGTCCTCACAGATGAGAATTTTGACAGATTCTAAAAGTCTGAGGGCGTTTATAGATGTGCCACACTAATTAAAAGTGCATGATCATCATGTGTATCAGTGTCCCCACACTGAAAAAATGGCCACAGGGCACTGTGAGCTAAAGCTCATTCAAGCTTTAGTTCAAAGTGCCCTGCTACCATTTTTCAGCACGGGGATGCTGATACATGTGACATTGGAGGCTGCTGGAGCATGTTAATTTCCCAGTTGTGCTGGATTTACAACACATCAAAGCAGCCTCCCTGCATGTGTGTAAGTGCCCAAAATGTCTATAAATGTGAAAATGCAGTTGCCTGACCAATACTGCTGTTCTTCAGCTTGATGATAAAGTATTCTATATGGTTTGCTACAGTGCAACAAAGCTTAGAAAGGCCTGTTCCTTCAAAAAGGAGGAAACCTGTTAAAACTTGTCCTGTCAATATAGTTAGTTCATCATTCTTGACTCTTCCAGATGTCCAAGCTCAAGTTGTATTCCAGACTCCTACTCAGTTGTCCCCCTTCCTTTAGGGCATTCCTCTGAAATATGAATCTGAACTGGTGATGCAACAAAATTATGTTGCTAACAACCATTAATATGTGACAAGCCTGAAATTCATTTCTTCAGTTTCTGCAGCACAATATGTATTCCCTTATAATTCCCATGGCCTTGGAAAACATGGTTGTTGGCTATTTGAGTTGTATACCACTGCTTAATTATCCAGCCAGAATATAATCTTCCAGTTAACAAAATTACTTTGCATTCTCCTCATCTTCCATTATTAATACAGCCACCACAGTGAGAGTATATTCCAAGGGAGACTACATTCCTGTTATAACAATAGATGCCCAGTTTTTTCAGCCAGTGATCAAAGAATATCAAGTGTATATTATTCCAAGTGGAGGTGATTGCATTATTGTATTAAATGGAGAATAATGGCTTCAAAGTCACCTACATACCCATGTGATCTAGCCTCCACCCCCACTTCTGTCATCCGATCAAAGGCCAAGAGGGCAAGCCTTATGAGGAGAGGCTAAGGGACTTGGGACTCTTCAACCTGGAGAAGAGAAGGCTCGGGGGTGGGGCTTGGCGGCAGCCTACAAGTATATCAGGGGGTACATCAGGACCTGGGAGGACAGTTGTTCACCAGGGCTCCCCAAGGGATAACAAGGTCTAACAGCCACAAACTCCTGGAAGGCCGATTTAGACTGGACATAAGAAAAAAATTCTTTTATAGTCCATCTGTCCCGGGTCTGGAACAGATGCCCCTCAGAGGTGGTGCAAGCACCTACTCTGGACTCATTCAAAAGGTGTTTGGATGCATATGCATATCTTGCTGGGATCATTTGACCTCAGCAGACTTCCTGCCTATAGCAGAGGGGCTGGACTCAATCTCATGAGGTCCCTTCCAGCCCCTAGTGTCTATGACATCTCTTAAGTGGAGATCATAATGTTCCAATTTTGCGAGTTGCTGTCAAATTAAAAGCAGTGTGTAAAATATAAATTATTACTTCTGTGGAAGTTTTTCACAGTATTGTAATTCATTTGTTAATTTATAATAATTGATGCTCTTTTTGAACATATTATGTGTATAGAATATGTACCTATATCTGTTTCATATGCATCTTCTTACAGTTTGTAAAAGAAATTGACAATGAGAAGAGAATGAGGCTATTGCAGTTTGTTACTGGCACGTGCAGATTACCAGTTGGAGGATTTGCTGACCTCATGGGTATGCAGAAGAATCCTTCTAATATATTATCTAATATTTTAAATTGACAGAAGTACTGCTTGATTATTTATGACCAGCTGCTTTTATCATGAATTGTACAAAATATATTTACTTTAGCTAGTCTCATAAATTCCTCTTATAATTAAATTACAACAGGCTGGAAAAAAACATTATCAATCTCTAGTGCTGCTATACCTCCTTCAAGTGTGTTTCTTTTAGATTGTGTATTTCATCATGCAGATGGTTGATCTGGATAGAGATGAGTAATTGGAGGCTGATGGGTTTATTCTTCTGTTGTCCCCTAAAAATAAACCTGTCTTACTGAGATGCTTTATATTTGATATGAATATTAATTATTTGACATCTTAAGAAAAGTAAGATATAACCACACATTCTTATGCCAACTACAAACATTAATGAACACTTTTTTAAAATGCTTGATTTTTATTGCAGGGAGCAATGGACCCCAAAAGTTCTGCGTTGAAAAAGTTGGAAAAGAAAACTGGTTACCTAGAAGTCATACTTGGTGGGTCCTTGTTAGATTATTATTGTGTTTCTAATAATCCTTTGCAACCACAACCACTACTCCACTTAAAACATTTTAACAGAGATTGCTCCTCACACCTCACATCCCCACATGCGAGATCCCACAGCCACTGTGGGACCCATGCTGCGTGTAGTGGCCACCCCAGACCAGCTGAAGCAGGCACTGAAGGCAGCTGACATCCTGAACTGGCAAAGCAGGCACCACTGGTGCTAAATCCAACGTGGAGAAGGGCAGATAGGTCCCAGACTGGCCCCAGGTGTGTGCAGTGTAGGTCTTGAAGTCAGTGCCACGTGCAGCCTGGGTCCCAGGCCCTGCACACAGGCCTAGTCTGACACACATGGCATATAGATCCACTCAAGCACCATGGGCCAAATGATGTGGCCCCATGGGCTGGATCTGGCACACAGGCTGTATTTTAGACCTCCATGGGGTAAGGAATCAGTCTTAGGACTCGCTTGTTTTTTTTTTTTATGGTATACATTTCTGAAGTTGTCTCCCATAATGGCTTTCCTAACTAGCAGTAGCAAACACTGCATGCTGCAGAAGTGCTTTATGTGTGAAACTAGGAAGAAACTGGTGAGCATCAGACAATCCTAACTGGTTCCCTTCTGCAGCTGGATTGACACTGTGGTTGTCTCAGTTGATAGTATGGAGCTTGGCACATCTGGATAGACATGCAAAGATGCCAGAATTTATGTTGTGTGTCATTCATCAGTGGTCATTAGAGAAGGAACAAGTGATGCATACTGGGGCTGTGCAAAGCTTTGGTAGCCGATTTGATTTGGAGGCAATTCGGCCCAATTCATGGACCGAATCTCCAAATCCGAATTGAATCAGGAGACCTATTAAAAGCTCCAAATAGATTTGAAGCACCTGAATCAATTCAGAAAAGATTTGGCAATTTGGCCATAGACTAAACAGGCAGCTGAAACAGCTGCCTCCAGCTGATAAATCTTTTGGAGTTGGGTGGAGAAAAGGGGCATAGGGGAGGGAGGGATTGGGGCTGGGGTTGGTACAAGCTGCCCAGCCGGGGAGGGAGGCAGGGGGCACTCAGAGTAGGGGCTCGCTCTGGGCAGAAGGCAGGAGGGCATAGCCAGTGCTGCTGCACCCACATCCCACAGCCCCCCGCCCCGGCTGGACAAGTCATGGCAGGGCAGAGCCCCCGCTCCCAGAGCTGAGGCACCCACATCCTGCACCATTTTGCACCAGCTGGCAAGCAGTGACAGTGCCCAGCTTCTCCATGCCAGCTGGCAAGCAGCGACAAGGCGGAGTCCCCACTCCCAGCACTGATGCAGGCACAGCAGAGCTGTAAGCAGGGGCTCTGCCCTGCTCTGCTTGCCCAGCAGGTCATAGCCCCCATTCCCAGCACTGCCGCACCCACATCAGCACTGGGAGCGGGGACTTTGCCCTGCCACCGCTTGCCAGCCAGTGCAGGGGGACACAGGATGCAGGCACGGCTGTGTTGGGAGTGGGGGCTATGCACTGCTGTCATTTGCCCCACTTCGCCTGGAGCAAGTCACACCTGCATCCCGCCCCCCACCCGGGCTCAGCAGGTGGCAGCAGGGCAGAGCCTCCGCTCCGAGCGCTGCCACGTCTAAATCTCACATCCCCTCGCCCCGGTAACGCGCCCCCCGCGCCCTGGCTGGGTAGCTTGTCCCAGCCCCAATCCCTCCCTCCCCCATGCCCCTTCCCAACCCCAACAGATGTACCAGCTGGTGGCAGCTGTGTCCGCTGCCTCTTTAATCTATGGCCAGATCTCCAGAGCAGCAACCGAATCTTTCAGATCTGATTCGGCCACTTCAAATCGGGACAGTGATTCGAATCTCCGAATTGAATCACTGTCCTCCAAATTGGCTAATCCAAAGCAAATACTTGCCACTTTGCACAGGCTTAATGCATAGACTGAGAAGACTTTTCATGCTATGAGTAGAGATGCAGGCACATTATCCTCAGCCCTTTTGTTCTATATTTTATTGTGACTAATCAGAAAGTATGAATAGTTGCAATTCTGATTCCCAAGTATTTTTTTGTACAGCAGGTCTTTCCCCTACCACTGGACTTCCCATAAACAAGGCCTTAATTTTAGCTCCCAACGAGCTGTCTTGTGTAAGAACATTTCTAGAAAAAGCAGTGTGATCATTGACCCTGGGGCATCTAATTTTAAAATAAGTAATTTTTAACTAGTGCAAAATTTTCAGAGCTGACATTTTCAAAAATGACTAATATTGGGTAACCAACGTTGGATACTTTAACATTGGGGAATCTTATTTTGTAGTCAGCTCCACTGTAATTGTAGGAAATAAGGCACTTATAAAGTGTGTCAAGCTTTGTACCCAAAAAAACGACACCCATATTCCCTAGTCATCTTTCATCAATGTGCAGACCCTGGTTTTCAGTTAATTTTCAGAGAGGTAGTTAGCTGTGTTAGTCTGAAATGAAGCAGAAGCAAAAGCAGGATGGCATCGTAGGATAGGTACATGCATTCAAAAAGCCCAAGGTGGAATCGACCTAAGTTGCACATTTTTCTGTAAGCAACAGTTTAGATCAGTAGTGAACAGCGCATACAGTGGGTTTGGGAGATGCAAATCTTAGACCAGGTTCTGCCATTTCTAAACCAGTCTGTGTGCCAAACTTCTGTTGTGTTATGGGTATAGATTAGTTTCCAGTCACTTTTACCACTAAAAGTGTAACATCTGTACCTGGCCTTAGAGACTGATTCAGAGAAGCGTAAACTTTCACAGGCAACAGTCTGGTAAGTCAGATGCAATGAAAAGTAAATTTTAGGGGTTTTCTTCCATCTAACTACAAAATAAATACCTATGAACTCAGTATCATTTCCACTTTGGATTGTAGGGTGTTAAAAATATCCTGTACGTTTGTTCATTTATATTCATGGCTCAGCTCTGTTAATGGAACAGTGGAAGAGTCATGTTTGGTTTGTGGGATTTGGGAGGTTTTATATTCCCATCCTAGTACTCAAGCTATTTTTTATTTTCAGTTTCAACCGCTTGGATCTGCCACCTTATAAGAGTTATGAGCAGATGAAAGAAAAATTATTGTTTGCAATTGAAGAAACAGAAGGTTTTGGGCAAGAGTAACCACCTGTGTGAATTTGCACCTTGAAGAATGCTATTTCAATGTGCGATTTGCATTCTTCACATCCTCTGCTTGTTGCACACCTCATTGTAAAGTAGATTTGACCTGGATTTATTTAAACAATTACTCATGTGTAAGTAAATGGATGTTTTCTCAGATTTTATCCCCATTACTTCTGGATTTCCACTGGGCACTTCCAGAAATCAAACCTGCAAATGATACAGCTGCAAATGAAATCTGACCTAACTAGAGATTTAAAACAGCTCTGAGCACTGCTTTATTTCGTGGTCCATTAATTAGAATGCATCCTTTATGACAGTTTTTTAAAACTAGTCTGTCTTTCCTTTTGAGTAGCATTTTTTGCTACTGAGGCACTGGGAAGTCTGTTGGTAGCTGCAATGCTACAGCATTCTCATAAGCCTCTTTACAGCAGTGTTATTAGAGCCAGCTTGTAATTAGCCTCTGGGTACTTACTTTAAGCAGATTCCATTACTTATGCTCGTTTCTAGTTCAAGATTGGCATGACTGTTTTTCCCATGCTGGAGTTTACTCACATCAGATTTGATTCAAACCATTGTTAAGAGGATGTAGAACTATGGCACAAGTCTATGGCATATCTTTTTTTGTTCTTAAAATATCCTATTCTAGCATATTTTTATGCCTGCCAGAGTTTATTGGTACATTTTGTGTGCCCTCTCCTATCTCAGAACAATTTTAATCCTTTTCTGTGTAATACATGCATATGCAGGCATGCACACACAACTTCATGTGCAACATTAACACTGTGGTACTTTAACACACATCTTGCAAAACACAGGACCACCTGGGATTGCAAGGAAATGCACTGATTAGAGTCCTATTAATAGATTGCTGTTTCCTGTCAAATTGTATTAATGGGTAGTAGACTTGATGTTACTGTTAAGTTTTGCAATCATATGGTTTCTTGTAAGGTTTTATCTGGTGTCAGGAAAAAGTATAGCAGTTCAGCTGGATTCTAAAATGTGGCTATAAAACAGCCTCAAATTTCTGTCATTTAACGTTTTGGTGGAAAAATGACATGCAATACTTGGCTTACAGACTGTCACAATTTAGACAGTTTTGGCCCCGATTAGACTTCTGTATGTTCCTGTATCCAGAAATTCAACAATTCTCAAGACATTCAAACTAACTTCAGGCTAACTCATCCCTGAGTTGCCTTTAAATAGTAACTATCCTAGTGTTTACTTACTCTGATTTGGACTGATGCATCTTTCACTTCCATTTATATTTCACTAGTATTTAAATTATTTGAATTGTCTGGCATTTTACATTGTATTTCCCCTTTTGGAAAGAATGCACTTTCTGGGTATGGTAAACTTTCTCCTTTGTCTTTCCCTCCTTTCGGATTATTAAATTCCAATAGGATCTATAGAAAGAGAGATGGCACTTGAAATGGCAATAGTGCATGCTAATGAATATCTTGCAGTGTAAGACTAGCAATAGAAGCCATTTGAGAAGCTTCTAATATTAGAGCTGGAACTGGACAAATGAAGAACTGTAAGTCTGAACTTCCATCTTGGGAGAAAATGTTACCTTCCTGTTATCCCTGCCATCTAAACCCCAAGAAGGAAAGGTTGATCCAGGGCTAGAGAGAGCCAGAACACTAACATTTTATAACTTGATTTACTGTGAGGTTTCTCTGTCCCAGATCATGTAAAGGGATCAGTTCTCCCTCAGTGTGTGCTTGTAAGGGAGAATACTTAGATCCCTGAGTGTTTTACCTAAGAAATGTATGTAAAAGAATTGTTGATTTTACAGAAATGACCCACTTCTATCATTTTATTGGTGGGTGACAAAAGATCTGACTTCATTGTTTTACCTGGAGGTACATTGGCCAACAACCAAAACATCTGATGGCTATTTTGCAACGTATGTCTTATGTAGAAAGAAAAAAATGCCTTATAAATATTTTTCTGTTGATAATTGTTTTAATGAAGTTACTTTCTGTTGATAATTCTTAAAATGAAGTCTAGTTATCTTAACATATTTACAGGAGAGATAAAATTAAATTAATAAAAATAATGCAAGATTAAGCTATGGAATATAGTTTATGTTCTATATAAAGTTTCATGATTCATGTAGGGACCTAGAAATATTGTTAATGTACAAATATCACCCAAAAGGCTTTCTGCCCTATATTTTTTAAATAAAGAATAGTTATAATTGAAATAGCCATAGCCCTAGTTCTATAGGGTGCGGCTGTTAAATATTTTTATGGTTGAAATGTTTAGTTCAGAAAAAAGGTAAATGCTTGTATATATTTTTGCAATCTGGGATTCCACTTATTCCATTTCTTCCTTTAATTTAAATGGCATGTTTATATGTCTTCACTGCTGTATTAGAGTGGGGGAAAAGGGGGCTGGATATCCCAAGCACCAGAAGTCATGTGCAAATATAAAATACTTTACTGACAAATAAATTTGTAAAGTGAAATATTGAACTTTGGCCAGAATGTTAACATTTAAAAATAAGTTTATTCTAAATGTTAAATTAGCAATATTTCTGAAATCCAAATTAAAAATTGCTTTTAAAACACATTTTGCTTTGTAAGCATTGTCAATGCTAACATCTGTTAATTTTTTACAGCATGTTATGTTGAAATAAAAAGGAAATAATATGAGTAATTGGTGCACTCTTCTGCTCTTTGTGGGGGACTGGGGGAGACGGGAATAAACCCACAAAGTGGTGTGCCAGGTGATAAGCCATACTGACTTTGGACTCCCAGTACAATTTTCAGCAGAGATTCTTGAATATGTATCTGAATTTCTTAAGATGAATTAGCAGCCTGTGATCTGATATTCTATTCTGCCTCTGGTGTGTTCAGGAATACCAACTGATCCAATCGGAAAAGGCCTTATTTTTTTAGTCGCTCAGGAAATATTAAAATATTAATGAAATGTGCAGTAAATAAGTCATTACTTTAAATTTGCTTCAGTATGAAGTTTTATATATTTTTAATGTATCCATTTGCTTCTGTAAAAAAAATAAATTAAATTTGTGAGCAATTTACTGATATTTTTATTATACTGAAAATTAAACTGGTATTCCTCCCTCCTGTTTCAATTCATGTTTTTCCTACTTCCTACACTGGATTTGTAATTTAAATTCCATCCACCATATTGGTATCTCCAGCCCCTTTTATATGGTGTCTCTTCATTTTCTTTCAGAACCTTAGTTTATGTATATGTGCTCTAGTGAACTAATAAATGAACTGGGATCAGCAGCACTGGATTGTAAAATACTGTACTGAAATTCTATTGTTGAATTTTCCTTGAACTGTAATTTGAAATACTCAGGTAACTGTAACAGTATCTCAGTAAGTCAGATACTTTTATAAAAGTACTTAAAGAGCTGGTCTTCCTGTCATCATTCCTTGCTGGTATGAAAATTATGTTTGAAATTAAATTGAATTTGTGTGCTCTTCTTTCCTTTAACCTGGTTTGAAACCTTCTACTTAGCAAGTCTCCTTGGAAGCAGTTCACATACATGAACAATTTTGCCATTGTTAACTCAGTGAAGTAATCAAGTTATTCCAGGTTTGTTCTAGAACATGAGTGATTTGGTCACAGCCGTAATTTAGAAATTACTTTATCCCAAATCTCTAAATTGGTTTTTATAACCCTTGGAATCCCACCTTTTGATGAGAATGTTGGTCTATCAACAGTTCAGGTCTGAGTACACTGCAGAACCTTAAAAGGACCAAGCCTAGACCAGTGATCCTCAACTAAAGTGCTGCCATGGGTTTCCTTGAGATCTTTTCAGGGGTACCATGTCATGTTAGCACTGTAGACTGTGCAAGTATAATTCAAAAGATAAACCCCAAGATTTCAAATAGGCATCAAAAACATTCTGATTTGTTGGGGTCTTTCTGAGTTCTTTCCAACATGAAGAATTGCTCTATTGTTCTTCTGTAGTAAAAAAGAGTGAAAACTAAGAGCTGGCATTCTCTTAAGTAGTGACTTGAGTCTAAAAAAGTTGAGAAGAGAGTGGCGTAGACCTTGAAATGAAGGGAGATGACATAAGAAAAGACTGCATGACATCTTCAGCATTACCAATTTTGTGTCTCTACTTCCAGGGTGATGCATGATTGTGACCTAATGTTACAGTTCTTCCTGGAAACTGTGTGGACAGGAAAAGAAAATAGCTATATGAAGGAACATGTTTTAGCACAGGACAGACTAAGCTGTATTTTTATGCTACTTTTGCATTATTGATATTATGCGAGTTCCCTAGCTCCTTCATTTAAAACATGAAATGGTAGGATGTAGTTTCATGGGGCCTCATCCTATTTCTGTTTTTTTTTTTTTTTTTTTTTTTCCCCCCTGCATATCCCTATACAGTTTGGTACAAATTGACATTGACCCCACTGAAACTCTTCTGGAAACTCTTCAAGATTTGCAGGGTTAGTGCGGACTGTAAAGCTGGGGGATGGGGAATGAGAATGGACACACAACTAACAGGAGAAGAGATATTACCATCTGTGATGAAGCTGCATAAGCCTACACGAGAGACGAGAACCATTAATTAGATTCATACCTGTTAGCTAATTTATAGCTAGTCTGTCTGGCTAATTTTGATTAACTATGTAATTACCTGTGGTTAGGACTCCACTGTTTGGGAGGATCAGACAATCAAATTCTAGTGCAGAGTTCTATGGGGGTAGAACAGTCACTGGCACAAATTCAGCCTTTTGGTCCTAGTGTACTGCTGTAGTATCAAGTTAAGTACTGGTTCAAGAATGCTAGGACCTTCACATCAGCCTGGGCTAACTGACCCATTATCTCCCTTTCCTGCAGGATTATTTCATGTCCTCATGAAAGTAACAATTCCGTCCTGTTGTATTCTATCAAAGCAAGGGTGAATCTTCATTTGAATCTGCTCCTCTGCCCAGCCTTGCCCCCATCATATCCACAGACTGCAAAGTTGTTTAAAGGATTTGTCAGAGGGGTTTCCTACTTTCTCCGAAGCATCAGATAGCAGATCGGATCCTGCTAGAGGCTCAGTTCCAGACATGACAGATGCATCAACTGACCTGCTACAATAAATCCTATTTTCAAAAAGGACCTTACATCATTAGTTCATTTGCCTAGCACTGTGCAGCTGTTTCCTACATAATGTTCTCTAGCATGCTGGTTAAAAAAAATCTGCAACCAATCATGTTCATCTTTATTTTTTTCTGCAATGCAGGAGAACAATGTTTGTGATCATTATAAAGCAGTGGAAAGGCTTTATTAAAATATGTTTAGCAGAATTCATCTCAGCAGAAAAGCTAGTCACTCCTGCTGGAAATGTCAACACATTGTAAACATTATTCCCCACCTCATGAGCTGATTAGGCAGGTGTTGGTTTCCTGTTCCAAAACTGCTAGCTTGCTAATCGCATCTCAGCAACACCACAAAACAGACTGAAATGAAAAACTGATGAACAAATTAGTAAAATAGGAGGAAGAGACTACCAGAATTTTGCTGTCCTGTGTATTTTATATCAGCTAGTACTGCTTTCATCAGTTCTCAGCTGCATTCCTATTTTCAACACAGTTCCTCATCTCAATCATATGACCAGAATCCAGAAGGTAAAGCTAAAGCCCCCAGCTTGAATTTTTAAAAAAGCTTCCCATCTTTTCAAGTGAATCTCATGATTGCGCAGGTGGGGGCTGATTAATTTGATTTTTTGAATAACCATGGTTAGCAATCCTATGTCCTGCTCAGCAACAGGAACATGCTTTTTTCCAGGGCTTCAGCTGCCCTGTTGTTTTATTGTCAGTGTTGTACAAGCATGACAGAGTTTGTCCCCCAAAAAATCCATAATCTGAAGAGAAAGGAGGGATGACCAGATGTGCCAAGAAGCCCAGAGGACAAATAAAAACTTTCTCATCTTACCTTTAGGTTTCTCTTCTGTGAGGCATTATGGATGACCCAAAGCTGAGAATCTCAAGGAACAAGCCACCCACTGACTTCCTATTGAAATCTTGACTCAAAATCTTTGATTCCTTATCCAAGGCTCTGAGGTGAAGAGCGATGACTCAAACTTGAATGGGGAAGGTGTTCCAAGCACAGAACAAGGTGTGAAAAATGGCACAAAGTCAGGATTGAAAGTGAGAAATGGATGGGGTATTAAATAGCGCATAAAGAAACTGAGATATTGTGCAGACCTACCACAGACATCATACCACAGTACAGGCTGTGAGGCCTTCAGGAGGAGTCCAGTTATTTGCTGAAGTTTACCAAACTTGCTAAAATATTCTATGAATATGACAGCATAGGCAGCTGGAGGGCATGGTTATGTTACGTTCTTCCAAAGGAATGACACTGATATATACAAAATAATGAAGCCAGATCACCTAGATCTAAGCTATAAACCATTTACCTTACCCTCACTATAGATGGACAATAGATCACGGTTTGAGAGAAAATGTTATAAAGGCAGCACGTTTTTTAAACGTCTAAAAAGCTAGATGTTTAATACACTGGACAGACAACAGCATAGGTGTTTACTAAGTGTAAAAAGGTGAGGGAGAACTGCTCTTTGATCACACGGTAGGCTTAGATGCCAGTATCTGCATGGCTTCTCTAAGAATCTGATGGGCTGATTCCTGACAGCAGCTGGGTGGAGGGAGAGCAGAACTGCTGCCTCAGGCTGTCCCCATCAGCTAGGACAGGAGACGCAGGGCACACACTAAGACCAATATCTGTTTCCATGTGGGAAGCCACTCAAAGCAGATGGAAGCAACTGCAGTGCGCCTGAGTGCAGGGGTCAGCATGTCGGGGCTCGTACTGGGCAATCCCAAATTGTGCTCCTGTTTGGGAGACAAACCCACGCTCCGCTCCCTCCTGCAGGTACCATCAGCGCCACCATGCTCCCACCAGGGGCAGGGGCGAGTGGACACTGCCAGACAACTTCAACAACTCTGGAGCTGCTGCCAGCTGCAGGGCCCGGTGCACAAGTGTTCACCTGTCACCAGCTCTCAGACTGCGCCTGCGCACCCCTTGGCTTGGCGGGGCAAACGAGATGAGCTCCTGGAACAGGGTTGGGCAAAGTGCGGCCCACAGACCGGATGTGCCCTGCCAGGCTATTCTATCTGGCCCGCAGGGCCCCTAAAAATTTTAGAAAATATTTATCTGTCGTGGCTACCTGTCGTACAGCCCCCAATGGCGTGCCAAAATTCAGTAAGCTGCCCTCCACCCGAAATAATTACGCCCCCCGGCCTAAGGCCTCGCGGGCTCCCACGCCGCCTGCCCCGCGCCTTGCTTCGACCTGCTACCCAGCAGGTCCTCACGCCCCTCTCACTGAGCCCCCACCCCCGCCTCTTCCGGGAGAAGCGCTGGTGTTAGCGCCCCGCTTCCGGGGCAGTGAAGGAAATGATGCAGCTGCCTAGCACCGCCTCCTACCGCCTCTTCGTGCGAGGCATTGGGTGGCGGAGTCCCGTGTCCCTGGCTCGGGTACACATGCGCGCTGGAGTCGTGACGGCTTTGCTGGGGCGGCGGCTGCGGGGAAGGTCTGTCCCGTCCCGTCCCGTCCGCCATGGTGAGCGCGGGCGGACACGTCGGCCAAGAGGCTGCGGGACGGTCCGCGGGGCGGCGAGGGGGGGAGCCAAGAGCTGCAGCTGCTGCCTGGTGCAAGGGAAACTTGTGCAGGGTGGGGCGCGGCTCTAGGCCGCGGTGCCGTCTTCCCTGCGCGGAGGCTGCAGAGCCCAGAGCAGCTCGTGCCGGGCGGGTGGGCCTGGTCCCGCGGCGCCGAGCTCCTCGTAGGCTGATCCCCGGGATGTGCCCGGAGCCGCGCGCCCCCGGGGGCCAAGCTCGCGTGGGCCGCGGCCCCTGGCTGCGTGCGGTACAGTGGACAGGACCCCGACCCCGGCGGCCTCGTCCCTGCCCCCACTTGCAGCTTCCTCCAGGGTGCTCTCAGCTGCACCACGCGGCCTTGTCCCCTGGGCCTGGGTCAGGCAATGGCGACTAGGAGAGGTAGGGAGGAGCCCAAGATCCTGGCTGCTGCTGCAGCACAGTGGGGGCCCAGGGGCTGCCTGTTAGCCCCTCGTGGGCTGCCAGCTGGACAGCCCTGCTGTAAAGTTTTACTGACAGCAATCTGAGTGCATGCATCTCAGTGCCCCTCACCTGCAGCAGGACCCTCCCTTCTCCTGGCAGATTTGCTCTTCCACTCCATGGGGGTGTACAGCTTTTCTTATTACCTGGTACTGGCTCCTGGTGCTTGAAAACACTCCCCTGCCTTCATTTGCCTATTGTGGTCCCATTAGTAGCTGATGCCTTCCCAGAGTGGGCCCCCCAGCCCATGTGCACATTTCACACTGTAGCCGCACCATTGCTGTAATGGAGCAGTCAGAGGTGCACAGGCATGT